TCTCCCGAGTATGAATTTACTGAGAGATTTGGATATGAAATGATTCATCGGGAAATTTCAAAGGCTGCAAAGTGAACTTCCATACAAGAAAATAACGATTTGCAAACTGAAAGGTCGATGAAATCGACAAACTTTTAAGATAAAATCAGTATTTGATGAACTTTTTTTTTTCTTCTTCTTACAACAAAGACCATTGTGTTAATTATCATTGTGCGACAGTATCATTGAAAGATTTTTGAAACATTTTACATACATTCAAATAAAAAGAAAACAAAAACGAAAAACATTTACAATTTCATAAATGAAATAGTTTTCGTCATTTTTTGAAAGTACGAAAGATATTATCACTTTCTTATAATTAAATGAAAAAAAAAAATTAAACGATAAAATTTCCCGTGACAGAAAAAAAATGCAAATACGGGAAATTACAATTGGTATATTGGCTAATGCGCCTAATAGGAAATAGCTGCTTTTTCAATTCAACAAGCAAATTCAAAACAATTTTATGTAAAAAAAAAAAAAGGAGAAAAACATGGAGTGAACAACAATTGAATGTAGCATACTTTATAATAGCAGTGTTTTCAAATTGATACGGGCACAGTTATTGACAGTGCAGCAGAAGTAATGCAAAATAATTCATAATTATTAAAAGTAAAGAAAGCACTTCAAAAAAAAGAAAAGAAAAAACGGGAATAACAAACGTTAAGAAAAATGATAATAATCCATTGAATAATTATTTTCTGTAATTGAATTCTCAATTTTTACTTCAATTTTATCCCTTAAAGATATTCCTTTCTTCAATTTTTATCCAATTTTTAAGTTGCAATTTAGTTCCGATTCCTGTTTTTTCTATATCTTTTATTTTCAGAAAATATTTTGAGGAATGAATTTGGAAGAAGATGAAAAGTGAAGGAAGGAGCAGTAGTAGGAATTGAATTATTTCAAATATGAAGGAATTCGAAATGAATAAAATGGATAATATGTGGAAAGGAAAAAAAAAGAAAAAAGAAAAAGGAGAAAGAGGAAAAAGGAAAGCTTTCCTTTTTCTTTTTTTTTTTGAAAGATTTTCGATGAGGCAATAAAGGAGTGCAGAATTGATGATGAACAATTGATAACATTTTGAAAGCGCCATGACATATTATTAAAACGTATCATCAGGTGTTGAACAAGTGAAGATTACGATTGGAATACAATTAAAATTCAACAATTTCAATGATTTGATAAAGCTTAAATTGCTGGGATGATTTAAATCAATCATGCAGTATTTGGTGTTTATCAGGAAAATGGTAATGTCAAAATTTTTTTAGAGAAAATAAAGTGAGTTAAAAAAAAAGAGAAGCCAGAATACAATAATGAAAATATTCTACCGAATACACAAATACTGCAAAGGAGGAATACATTATTGAAATATTTATTGATAGATAAATCATCAAAAAATTTAAAATCGTGAAAATAAAAATTGAAAAAAAAGCAAATGGATGGAAGGAAAAAAATATATATCAAAAATAACTTCTCTTCATTGAATGAATCAAATTATTAAACGTTTCAATAACCGGTATATTTTTTTTTCTTTTTTCTTCTATTCTTTGCAACTTTACAACTTAATGAGTAATTTGCATAAGTTTCAATTTAATAAACTATAATTGAGCTCAGCAAAATAGAAGCAGCGTTCAAAAAAAAAAAGAACTGATGAAAAATTCCTAACGAAAGCACATGCAAGCATATTTTTGTAACAACAATAATTAGTAAATATTATTGCTCGAACAAAAACAAAATCTAAATTGAGATTTGAAGCTAAGCTAAAAATTAGCATAATTTTTCATCCTATTATTACACATAATATTTTGTACAATGCTCGAGCAATAAATTATCACTTTGCAGGTAAAAATATACAGACGATGAAAAAAAAGATAAAAATTATTGAAATAGCTGCGATATTTTGTAATCTGTAAGTATTAGCCAATACAACAATGAAAAATAAAATGAGACCAGTTGGAAGATATGGAAGATATGTATTTCAATTCAATTCAATTCATTTCATTTCATTCCATTTCATTTCTCTCGTTTACCGTATATATCGGCTAAATTATTAAAGCGTGGACCCCATTTTTCAATCTGAAAATTCAAAAAGTAATCCTAATTTTATGCAGCAACATTTTTGATATCTAAAAATTTAATATCCGAAATAAAATATATTTAATATCTAAAATATAATATCAAATACAGTATTAACACGGAATATTATTTATAAAATGCAACCATGATAACTGATATAATCATAAATTACGATTTATTATTTATGATAAATTTGAACTCTGACAAAAATATTAATTGTGTTACTAAGTTCTTCTTCTTCTTTTGTAAAAGATAAGCTTCGCTTACTGTTATTGATGTAATCCCAGAAAATTTTGAAAAAAATTTGAAAAAATTGAAAACTTGGAAATTATTAGATGGCAGCAAAAAGTTGTTTCATAGACTATGTTAAATATATTTGTATTAGTATTAAACTTCATCCATTCAAGCATTTTTAATTACTTGCAATTATTATTACTATTTTTTAAAACCAAATATAAGTTTAATTTAGCTATATTTACCTCTTGATCAAGATTGCCTGAAGGGATTGCATCATCATTTGATTCAAGTGACTCAAGCGTTATCCTAAAATTTATAAATTCTAAATTCATGATCAATATTAATCCAACATTAATATTTTGTCAGCTTACCTGTGAAGCTTTACATCTTGTACATTTACAAAATATTTAGAAAATCTGTATTTTATTTTTTTTTTTAAAAAAAAACTTTTCAGGTATATTTTATGGAAACAAAAAAGATGAAAGAAACTTCCAAATACCTGTACAATTTTTTTATATCGTAATAGGAGAGAAGATGAAATAAACTGTGAGAAAATAGGAAATGACAAACCTTGATATATTATCACCTTCATCATCGTAAATTCGTAATTCATCATATGGTGCTGTAGCATCCGGATCTGCTTCCAAATTTTTGATTCTGTTATTAAGCTTATCATCTAAATTACAAAAAAAAAAAAAAATATGAAAATAAAATTTGTTAAATAACATTCATATCCAAAAGTTTCCAATTCTTCTCTTCCCATTATTAAAAGCTGTCATTTGTTAAATTGTTTATAATTCCGGCTAATGGAAATATATGACAGCATTTTTTGGCTTCAAATTTTTCAAAACAATTTTTTTTCTACATTTTATAAAACTCCTCCTAATTAATATAAACTAAATTTTATGAATTGAATATTTTTACAATATATGAATAGAATTAAAATGGATGCAAAAATGTTTGAAAATAAAAAAGTGTAACATTTAAATTTCTACAAAATTTTGCTTTTCCTTAAAATTCAAACCTATCGGTGAACGTTGCATTGGATATACAGGTTGTGCATAACCATTAATACCATTTTCCTCAATTGGCATTACAGGCTTACGAAGATTGGTAATGTTATACTGATCATTATCAGCTTCACCACCTCCTTCTATATCATACGGTCTCAAATTATCACGATTTAATTCTTCTGGACGAACAGGCTCAAATGGTGGTGTATGACGTCGAGTGTATACAATCATTAATAGAACCATCACTGTAAAATTATTTTACTTTATTCATAGTTATTAATAAAGTAATATTTATAGGAAATAAAATTTTTTTTTTTTTTGAAAGTTCTAAAAGTACAAATTATTTCAAATCATATTTTACATTTTTTCTTTCTTTCTTCCTTTTTCTTTTTTTTTTTTAATTTTTGAATAAAAGAAAATAAATCAACATACTAATTAATAAAATTAGGCATATAAGGATGAGAATGATTGCAGGACTGGAAATACCAAGACTGCTAACAGCTAATGTTTCACCACAACCAATCAGCTCACCATTAACTCCAAGAAGTACCTGTTAAAGTGAAAAATTTTTTCTATTAATTTATCAATTTGATTTTAGTCTTTAAAAAAATTTTTTCGCAAAAATTACTCAACAAAAAATCACTAATCTAAATCTTACTAAGCAAAAAATTACTAAAAAAAATTACTAATCCGAGAGAAAGTGAAATATTTCACTAATCTGAAAGAAATGAAATAAAAGTATTTAATTTGCTAATTAGAAGGATGAGTAAATTTACCTGTGCTCCTTCTGGACATGTACAGAATGGTCCTTTCCAAAAATCAACACAAACAAAAGAGCCACCGCAATATGCAAATCCAACATTAGCGCATGTTTTCCGTTGTGAACAACCATTCTCGACACCTTTCGATTGTTTCACTGATATAATCGAATCGCTATCACTTTGGCTATGATCATCGCTTGATAACTCATCACTTTTCATCAATGGTAGATTAATATGCTGCCAACGGAATGTACCAACACAACCCTAAATAATGATAATCAAATCGTCAATCAAATTCCTTTTTTACTTACAGATAATTATTATCACAAAGATTTTATCAATCTTATCATTAGTAAAATAATCATTTGATAATTAAAATGAATAATTGTTTGGAAATGGCAACTATTATTCTGTCTAGAATCAATCAATATGATATGATAGACAATGATAAGTTAGTTTGTTTAAATCTCCTACCATACATGTTTCAATTGTTGATGTTTATGTGAATATATTTATATGAATAAAATTGATTGAAATTTTGAAAATGCACAAAAATTGCATACTCGAAAGCCTTTAGCGCTTTGAACATTTAATGCTCCAAGAAATAGTTCATTTATATCGATTTGATATGGAATTTTGAGTGGATTTAAAGGTAATACATTATGATAGACACCATCGATTGATAAGGAAGCACTGAAAAGTGTGATAAAAACTAATAATGATAATTGATTTGGAAAATGCTGTTCATTTTATCATACATCAAAAATCATTTATTTATAGTAATGAATATGAAAAATCATTTATTGATAATAATTACTTTTTTTTTACGCAAAACGAAAAAAAATACAAACCGAAAAGGATTTCTGGACAATTGCATCCAATAAGAAATGTTATCCTGAAGATGCAAATCGGTCAGCTGTAATTCTACTGATGTACCGGAAACGGTAGCACCAGGACTGGAGCTGAAGTCAAATTTTGCTGTTGGTGAATAATTTTCAATCGAAGTACTGATATACTGAAAGAAAAAAAAAAGAAAGTGAAAAATTATCATACAATTTAAAATTTTACTTCTGCAATACAAGGAAATACTGAGTAAAAATGATAAATACAAATATATTATTCTCGCAAGTTAAAAAAAAAACAATTTTCACTTCTTCCATTTTGTCTTTTATTTGTTTTAGGTCAATTGTAATTTGACAATCTTTAAAGTTATTATTCAATCTAATGAAAATTTAAAAATATAATTCTTGCAGGTCATTCATAGTTAAATTGCATCATAGGTTTTGCATCGATAAAACGACAGCAAACTTTGTTGAGCATAACAATCAGTTTTTTGCTTTTCAATCATTTAAATTTAAAGGATAAATGAAATTTAATTTACTTTTTCACCAGCACTAGCAAAACCAAGTTCTCCGGTTCCAGCATTAGCTTTACCAGGTAGGAATAGCAAATCAACATTTGTTGTCTTATCTTCCAGGCCCACCTTTACATCATACTCAACAAATGACCCAGGACCAAATTCAACCCATTTAAATAGACTGTCGCATCGATCACCACCATATCCTGGGTCACACAAACATTTCGGCACATTTGACTGCAATGAAAAAAAAAAAAAAAGGTCACACTTTAGAAATTTTATTTATTAAACAATGCTAAATTAAAATTCAAATTAATTTAGCAAATATTCTCAATCTTTTCTATTCCTATAAATTAACATGCTCATTAATGATCAGCAATTAAATGCTCGAAAAAACAAATTCTCCAACAAGTTCGTCTTTTTAGTATTTAAATCCATAATATTTTGAAATGGATAAATTCTATCGGATAACTTACCACCAAGTCAGAAATACATTCCCCATGAATACAGTACGGTCCACTGATATCATTCAAACCACAAGCGCCATCCGTAAGTTGACAACCAATCTGTGAATGCTCTTCGCTAGCATAATCCGGAACACCCAAATCATAGAGCTCATTGTTTACCACCAAATCACGTATGCAACCTTTAAAATTCATTGCAAAAGCTGTTACAATTCCTGGATAGCGATCATTTCCGGATAGCGGTGCAACTCCACCAATCTAAATTTCAATCAAAATCATTTTAAATAGCTTCCAAAATCATATTAAAATTTTTGAGTTAAATTTGTGAATTTTAACTGATGTTACAAATAGTGATTTTATTTGAACAATTGTTTTCTTATAAAGTTATTAACTAGGGCTAATTTTTGAATTTTAAATAATATTACGAGTGATTATGATACCAAGATATTACCATTAAGGAATGATAACTTAGTGATTGGTGATATTATTTAATTATCAATAATCACATCAAAGATTGATACCACTTCAATTGTAATATTTTAAATGACACTATTTTATAGCGATACTATTTTAGAGTATTTTAAATGATACTATTTTACAAAAACAACGATGTCACTAATTGGATTATTTAGGAATAAAAAATTTAAATAAAATACTTGTAATGGTGTGACAACATTTAACCGTTCATCATCATCAGCTGTTATTTTAACACGACGACAGGATGAATCATCAATTCTAATAATCTTATCACCTGTTCCAATTGGCACAATCGTATAGCAATTATCAATTACTAATTCAATAATCTGTAATATGTTATCAGTCATGAACATATCATATCACTCAAATTATTCCAATCATTTTTTATTGTAACTTAATTTTTACTAGGAATTGAAAATTTTTAATAAAAATAAACTAAATTACATATAATGAATACAAACTTTGCCATCCTGTGATAATGTTACTGTATGCCATTTTCCATCATTGAGAGTATCAGAACCGGGAATTTGTATCGGATTAGCGACAATACCATTAAACATGAAATCAGCCTGTATACGACCACCAACTAATCGTATGATCACATAATCTTTATAATCTGTATTATTATCACGACCCATTGGTCCATTATACAACAGTAAACCGTTAGCTTGTCTGAAATTTCACTTTTCTTTTTCTTCAATCAATTATAAAATCAATATCAATTGATTATCATTCTGATAAGGAATAAATTAATTAGCTTATTTAAGTTTAAACACTAAAGTTTGAATATAAGTCTATTCAAATTTGAATATACTATAGATTTTTTTAACTCTTCAAGATTTTATAGTATTTGAGAAGAATTTTTTTTTTTTTTGATAACGCTTAGAAATGATAATAATGCGTTGTTGTCAATAATTTAAATAAAGTTTACCACTGAGAAATTGTGCATCAATTACAGATAGTTGATGAATTCGAAAACTAATTAATTTTGCGGAATTATAAATTAATAGAGGATATGTAGTCATAACAGATAGGAATGTAATGGATGAAAGATATTAAAGTTTTACTTGTTTGAAAAATTTCATTTATGGGAAAAGATGTTAAAATTTCATTCAGTTGGAAAATTTTTCATTTATAACAAAAGATGACAAAATTTCATTTGTTTGAAAAATTTCATTTATAAAAAAAGATATCAAAATTTCATGAAAAATTTCATCTCGAGAAAAGATATCAAAGTTGCTATTCAAATTGTAGCAATTTTAATTTTGTTAATAAAATTAATAAAATTAAAATTATCATATAACTTGAAATAATAATATAATTAGTTAATTACCTAGTCAAAAATTGTAATGAGATATTCAATGAGGTACATGCTGGAACTGGTTTAAACCAAGCAAATCCTTCTCCATCAAATGAACGTGTGGTACCTTGACAACGTAAACCTTTCAGGAAATTATTACGACATTCACAAAAGAATCCAGGATATGTATTATGACAAACACCGGAATTAAGACATAAATTAGGTTGACATGATGATGGTGGTGTAAAAATTGGACAAATGCACGTATCATTTGACCAGGCATTTACACCAACAACAACTGTTTGATTAGCCGATACAACGATACCTTCCTGAAATTTATATAAAATATCTCCAAATTAATTACACTATAGAAAAAAGAATAAAAGAGTGAATTATTTGA